AGTGGTTTCAGTGAGCCTGGTTGTCATTAGAGCCAAGAATTAAATCTGCATCTTGTCAGTCTCTGGCAAACAGATGAAGAAAATGCATAAGAAGGAAGAAGTGCTTGGATTCAGCACTTCTGGGACTGAGGAATACAGATACAGCTAGAGAGTAGCAAAGTAAAGGAAACAACAAGTTATACAAAACAAAGGAAAAGACATTAACCCTGGTTAAAGCACCTCAGAGGGAAAGCTAAGGAAACATCCACTTCTTGCCTCCTTCCCCCCAGGGCATGTGCATGGATGCAGAAGAAATATGGAAAGATTACGGCAGAAAACAAGATAATACAATAAAGGGAGCAAAACAGCATATTGCTGTTATGATCAAGACATTTATAGGAGAAAATCTGAAGATAAACTAATTTTTCATGCTTTTCTTATTACAGTTAGGAGGGGCAATGTACCTACACACATTGCATTCTGCAATCATGTACAATCCCTGCCATCTCCTGCTTCTGACTTATCCCATCTTTAATTGTTTGAAATTGTGTTTCTACAAATAAAATCAAAACCCCTCCAAATGAATTAAAAATAGCATATCTCTCTCCTAAGAAAATAATTCAACATAAACACAAAGATTTCTAAGGACCTGTGGTTTATGCTTTGATCATAACTCTCCGTTGGAATTAGGAGGAGCCAGATCAGAGATTAACACAGCAGAAGCAGAACAAGATGTCCTAACTCCCTGGTAGAGAACTAAGATTTGCCTACCTCTTTTGGTCTGGCATTCTGAACTTCAGATCAAAGGTTGAAGTAAGAAGTTGATTAACTAATCTTAATAACTTTTGGAAAATAAAAGGTTTAACTATTTCAATACAGCAATCTCCTTAGCAGATTTCATCAGAAGCCTTCAAGAGGGCAGAATATCCAAGAACCCTATCTGGAAATGTTTCAGTATTTAAAGGATTTGCACAGTTTAAAAATATTTTGGAGGTTTCATTTGCTGCAGGCTAGGACAGGAAAAATTGTTTTGTGATGTAGCAAGTCACCAGGGCCGGCTGTTTCACAGGAGCAACTGTTTTATAGAGTTATCTACAACCATGGGTCACCTGTGAAATGAGAGCTCTTGTTAAAAGCAGGGAGAATTTAGAAGAGCAAGTAGGTCACAATCAGTAAAAGCACAAGAACAAAAGCACAGCTGCTCCTCTTCCTACTAAAAAGCCACAGGAGTTTGAGAGCAGGACTGGGCTTCAGCAGGCTTTAAAAAAGCAAAAGTAAAATTCATGACAGGAGAATGCCAGGGAGGCAAAGAGCAGGTCAGCAGCTGTCTAGAAATAGCCATTGGATTTTAGTTTGGAGTAACACTGGACTCAAAGGCTGGGGTGTCGAGTTCACACTGCTAAGCTTAGAACCCTACAGAACTTCCAGCACTAGAGAAAAGGGTCTGCAGCTCCTAATGAAGGGAACAGAAACAGCAGGCACTTCACAAAGCTGACACAGACACACACCACCAGACCTGAAAGAGGCTGTCAGTAACTGGACACAGCAGCACCCCTCGTCTCCACCAGCTGCATCTCATCACAGCCACGTTTCTGCCATCAGCAACTCCACACCTGCTTTGGGCTCAGGGCTGCCAGCTCAGAGGGCTCTGAGCAGTGGCTCCCACCAGCCTGGCTGGGCTCTGATGCACATCAGCTCCCCAGTGCTACCTCCTGGCTGCTGACAACTTTCAAATATAGAAATCTCCCATCAACAGAGTACTTGTGGAGACAAATAGTTCTGTTTCAGTTACAACGTCAGTCAGGTAATTAAGGACCTTTGAGTGCACCCTCTGGTTGTCAGAGGAGCAAGGCACTGTTAGACAACAGCAATTTGTGGATTTAGACTATTTTCCCTTAGAGACATTTCTAAAACACTTGCATGTATGACCAGGTTAGGATTTTAACGAAAGACTGCAGCCACAAAATAAATTAAAATACATTTACAACAACAACAAAAAAGACTAGCATTACAGATTGGGCTGTCTTGTGGGCTGTCAAATTAATAAGGTCAGTGTTTGTAGGCTGAAATTAAAACTAGTTTCAGCCTGAAATCACACACCAGCATAAGGTGATAGAAAAGAGGCAAGAAAATTCTGAACTTTACCCAGAATAAATTATCATGAACAAAAGCCACGATCAAAATACAGAATGGACATCAGAATGTATTTCTTACATACTTACTGGGATGCACAAATCTTTTTAAAAAGCTAAACAAAATGAAAGTCTTAGGATGTACTCTGTTTTGGGTCCGTTTTGGTGCAGAGTTTTTTGTTTGCTTGTTTGTTTTTGGTTTTGTTTGGGGGGGGCTTTTTCTTTGCTTTTGTTTTCTGGTTTAAAAACCAGCCCAAAGATTTTTCCTGTTGAGAAACCCAGATCATTATTTTTCCCACTGGATGACAGATGACTGCAAAACGAGCCACTTTATTACTGATAAGAACTAAGCTCAAAGGAATGAGAGGCAGTTTTAGAAGAGTCTCTTGTTACATAAATCACTCAGCCTAAGACCATCTGAAAATAGGCTCATTAAAAGTGAACGAAAAAGCTCTTCAGTCAGAAAGCTCCAATCACAAGTTTCTTTCCCCATCCTTAAGACTGTGCTGTAGAATCTGCCTATGAGACCTAATATGAGATTCCTGAAGCACAGATATAAAAAAGTATGAAATAAAAAGTACATAGAAGAAAACAGCTGAAAAATACCTCACAAGGTATCCTCCTGCTTAGAAAGTGAAAGGTCATGCTCAAAGTCTTTCTATTTACATTAGCAATTCCTCCAGCCTTCAAATGATTCCTTTTAAGTGAGAAAATTTAACACTGACTCCCAGAAATGTTGGGGAGAGGGAAGAATTACACTCTTACTGATCTGTCTTCTACTGTATGACCCTACTCTTCAACATATGCAACAGAATAAGAAGCAGGGAGATTCCCTAGCACTCCTTTACTACAAGTCCCCCACTAAATGCCAGAGCTGCACAAGGGTCAATTATCAGGCTGAAGAACATAAAAGCCCATCGAAGGGAATATTAAATAAGAAGCAGGTCATCATTCACACCAGCAAGAGGCTGGTTCTGAAGCAATAATTATTTTTCCAGAAATTTTCCAGTGTAGTCGTTACCTCTGTGTTGCCTTGATAATGATGGCCTGACTTTTTCCCAGTCAGACTTTACACCAAAAAAAACAAAAAGACCCCACCTCCACACAAAATTGAGAACAAACAGAGATAACATTTGGAGGTTCAAGGATGAGCCTCATCGTGACTCGATTGTGACAGAAAACTGCTGTGAAGTGATGGAGGCAGCTGTGCCTTTTCTTCAAAGGGGTTGTGTGCTCTCCTGGAAAAGGCCAAACCCATTGCTGCTGCCTCTCCAGCACCCCTGAAATGCCATTTCCTCGTGTTGTGGAAACTTTCCCATAGATACACTTTCTATACACACAGCAACACTGCTTGCTCTAAGCTGGCAGAGGATTCTTTTCCACACACAGTCATCACATCTTTAATGACCTGTCACATCCCCCTCTAAGAAAACAGGGTATTGCTCAATGACACATGAGCACATGAGACATTAAAAACCCTTTAAGACAGACTTAAGGTTGGCATGGAATTTGGTTTCTCCCAAGAGAACTGCTAAAATTCTCTAAAGAACACCTTTAAAGAGACATGGTTTATGGTCATTGTTGAGCTCTTGTGCAAAATGCAAGCAGGTTTAGCCAGATTTTTCCACATCATCTCCTGGCATTTCACAGTCTGAAAAATTAAGCCAAGAACAGAGAAGCCAGGTTGGGTTTTTTTCAAAAGAAAGAAAATAGGAATTTTTTTTTTCAGTTTTTAATTCCTGTTTGCTGCAGTGCCAGGAAAATGAAGTCTTCCTAAAGACAGGCCCAGGATTTAGCAGCAGCCTGTTGTGTTAACATCCAGAACTTGACTCCATTTCTTGTCTCAACTGTAACTTAAACAGGGATCCTGGAAAATATTATGACTTCAAGTAAAACATTACTGATACAAAATTTTTAAACTCACTCTCTCAAAAAAGTTGTTTCTCCAACAAGTTGTGATAGAATAAATCCAGAAAAGGGAGGTTTCCCTGGCTCTGTGTTAACCAGGCAGTGATTTTCAAAAGCCAGTTAGGTGTTACTACTGATGGACATCACATGAGAAGCTATTTCTGAGCTGAATGGGTTGCAATCAAATATTATTCACACAGAATGGCTGGAAAGATGCCTGGTGGGAAGGGACCTGGGGGGTGCTGGTGACAGTGGCTGAACATGAGCCAGAGCGCGGCCAGATGGGCAGGAAAGCCAATGGCACCTGGCCTGGGTCAGCAGTAGTGTGGCAGCAGGGCCAGGGACTGTCCCCTGTACTCAGCACTGGTGAGGCCACCTCAGATTCTGGAGTCACTTTTGGGCCCCTCATGACAAGAAAGACTTTGAGGTGCTGGAGCGAGTCCAGAGAAGGGAGCAGAGCTGGGGAAGAGTCTGGAGCACCAGGAGTGGCTGAGGGAGCTGGGAAAGGGGTTCAGCCTGGAGAAAATGAAGGTCTGGGGGGACCTTTAGGCTCTGCACAGCTCCCTGACAGGACGGGACAGCCAGGTGGAGATCGAGCTCTGCTCCCAAGGAACAAGCAGTAGGACAAAAGGAAGCTGCCTCGAGTTGCACCAGGGGAGATTTGGATTGGAAATTAGGAAACATTTCTTCATGGAAAGGGTTGCTCAGCATTGGAACAGGCTGTCTGGGAGGTGGTGGAGTCACCATGCCCACAAGTGTTGAAAAGACATGTGATGTGACACTTGGGGACAGGGTTTTAGTCATGAACTTGGCAATGGTGGGGTAATCATTGGACTTTCTGATCCTAGAGGTCTTTTCCAACCTAAACAACTCTACAATTCTTAATTCATGGGTGGGAACCTGAAGAGGTAAAGAAGGGAGAGGAAGGAAGGAGGACAGGTTTTTATGCTGCCTTTAGAGTAAAGAAATTGGACCACTCACCTCCACTAAGTAACTTCATCACCAGCCAAAGCTCATCTTTCACCACAAACGATGTGTAGTAAGATACAATGTTGGGGTGATGGCACTGACTCATGGCTTGAATTTCTTTCTGTAGAGAAAAATAAAACATTGGCAGTTGGACAGAGTGATCATTTCTCCTGGGCACAGAAGTTATCTTCCTCAAGACAAGCAAGGGTGCAAAGAAAAAGGATACCTAGAAGGTAAATGTAGAAAATCCAGAAATACTCTAAACACTCAGGCTGCATCATACTAGAGCCAAATTTTAGGGTGCTCTTCCTGTCTTGTCTAGAGGAAAAAAAAGTTAACCAAAAAACCCACAGTAAGGACATCAATGTGGTGGCAATCAAAATACCTGCATGCAGCTACAACAGAATATTCCCAAAAATTCACTCTGGTTTGTGACCTAGGAAGTTCATGCTGACTTCTCCTTTCAGTAAAACACTATGCAACAGATGCTTAATCTGTTGAAGACTATCATTTGGATGAGAAAGGAAAATATTGGCCTCTGGGGAAAAAAGGCCTCTTATTCCTAATATTTCTTCCCAGCAAGAAAGCAGATGGCTCAGCTCAATTAGGTTGAAGGCACAAAGGACAGCTGTATCCTTTGTCACCCTGGAAGAAGAGAGAGATCACTCTGAGATTAGAAAGTCAGTAGCTACTACCAGTCCAGGACAATATGAAATATGTTCAGATATTAAATTGTTTTGAGTTTTGACTGTACTCAGTCTTCGTTTTGGTTATGGATTCAGGGCTGAGGTTTTTCAGGTTATGGAGGGAACAACACCACAGAAAACACTGACTGATTTCATTATGCAAGCACAAATCACCACTTTGGACAGAAAGACTCACAGTTTCTTGGCTGTCCATAGACAAAAGCCATCCACTGAGCCAAGCCTGGCACCCCGCACTGCACCCAGCTGAGCCTTTGTGCCTCAGCCAAGTCCCCCAACCTGACAAACTGTACCCACCCCAGACATCATTCTCTCATACCCTGAACTTCTGCTCTCAACTACAGCACTCCTTCATGGAAGAAGGAGAGCAAGGCCCTTCACCCTTGATCCTTCCCTCCCTCTAAGCACAAGACTTCCCTGGTACTGAAGGACAAGAAAGAGCTCTGAGAAGAATTCACTTGTGCCCAGGACACCCCACAAATGCAGCACATTTTCCTCCTACTCCTGTACAAAGCTCTGCTTGTGACTGAGTTCAGAGTAAAGCCACTGCTTCCCCTTGGCAAGGCCTGAGCTGGCAATCACAGCTCTAAAGGAACAGGCTCATGTTGATTTATCCACTTAGCACTGCTTTTCAGGGAGTAGGTGCCTTTGAGGAATCCAAAGCAATTGGTTCCTCTTTCTGCTTCCCTAGGAGAGGCACCAACTTTCCAGGAAACTTAACAGGCAGATTAAAGAAGAATCCTTCTAAACAGGAAAGGATATTTGAAGAGGAATAAGCTATTCATCTCCATGTAGCATACTCTGACTGAAAAACACTCTGTGAAAATAAATACAGCCTAAAACAATATATTTTGCTTACTCTGACAGCTCCAGCTCCCTTCCTTGCAAACTTTCACTTGTCAAGTCATTTTTCACAAAAGAAATAAATCAGCAGCTTTAGAGTTTTCTGTGGCTCTCTGTAGTTCTCTCTGACAATTAAAATATACTACGGAAGATCAACTGGCACCAGAGGAAACCAAGGTGGAAAGCAGCAAGCAAGGATTGGTAATCCATCCCATCAGCCAGACCTGCCCCAAATCCACCACTCTCAGAAAGTATCTAGAGGAGCTGGCTTTATATTTTCTCAGCTAGACTGCTCAAAATATTATGAAGCAGTTTCCTCGGAAATCAAGAGAGCAATATGAGAAATGTATACAAACACTGCATATTTAATATATATTTGTATATGCTACTGTAGTAGGAGGCAATGAGACAAAGTCTGGACCAAGTTTACTTAACATCCTAGACATAGATCAGATTTTAACATTTAAGCAGCCCCATACTACAGAATTTTTCAGGCATTTTGTGACAGTTACCATTTTATTATTATTTTCTAAGAACTTCTTTTCTCATTCACTACCACAATCTGCTCCCTGGGCAGCTTAAAAAATAGCTAAAGTCTGTCATGTGCACCAAAGCATAAAGAGGGAAAATAAATACTCACAAACCTGATCTGTGCAATTAAACACCTCTGTCAGCCAGTGGATGTAAAATACAGGCAGATTAATCCATTTCTCACACAGTGTAGTACAGCTGTGAATAATTAATGGCATCACAGCCCACGATTTTCAGTGTTTTTACATTATTACCAATCAGAAGGGGCAGCAGCCAGGCAGACTTCCCCTCCCACCCGCAAACCCCCATTTCATTTCAGCAGTTTTCTACGCTAATCTCACACTGGCTACATCAAAGCTTGGTTCCTGTTTTTCCCCAAAGAGGGTACCAACATCCTGAAAGCTCAACCCATACAACTCTTTAAAGTGATAGTGGCAAATCACAGGGGCTTTGTGGTTAAAATCTTTCCTGGCATAACTGAAACCAAGCCAATTCTGTCATCTATCCACAGCCTGCTGCAGCAGTACAAATGCAGGGGCTGAAGGGCTGTAGCTAAAGCAGGGATCCCACTCAAGGATCACTGGGCAGCTCTGCTCAAAAGCATACTTAGAGTAGGAAGGGATAAAATGCAGCAAAACAGCCATTTTGTGTGTAGTAAGCTCAGCTTTAATATATTCCCAAAGCTTTTGGGAGAGTTTGCTGCTGTTCAAGCACAACAAAGTCACAGCAGGTAAAGGTTTCCTCTTCCCGCCTCTCTAATAAAATTACTATCCCCAGATAACAGAGTTACAACTGTGCTTCCCATATTTTCCCCAGCATCAAAACTGTATTGGAAGACTGCTAATAAAAATCTCAGTGATGTGCACACCTCTGTAATAATTTATTTGGGCTGCTCTATACAAGGTTGCTTTATTCCCTCTCTTCCAACAGCCATGGGTCACTTGATACAGACCCCCAAGCCATCCACAGATGCAGTGGGTGATAAGCAGCTCTTCCACCCAACACCCCTCACACTCCATGGCTGCAGTGATGAGAAACAGCCTTCCTGCCAAGTCCCATAAATTCCTCTGCTTTCTGCTCAGCTATGGAGAATGAATTCCCGACAAAAACATGTCTAGACACAGGCAATGGTTTGGAAATGGTTACATGCTCACCCTGGGCAAGATATTAAAAATATCTGTATTGTCAAATACCAAAAGCAAATAGACTGGGATTAGCTCTAAATGCCTCCATGGCTTCCATTAAGGGTTCTGACAAATGTTTTCAGTACTTCTACAGGCAATAAAAGAAACATTTCAAGGCTTGCAAAACAGTCATAAAAGTGCAGTGAAGTATAATCTAGAATCACAAGCAACCTATTAGTCTCCTGTAAGTCAGACATACTTCTGGAGATCAGCTATTTTGGATGAGGGTTTATTTGCCCAGTGACACACAATTGAAGTTGGAATTAATAGGAGCAGGTAAGGCTGTGTTTTAGTTACCAGCTCAAGTTTCTTAATGGTATTTTCTTTTCACATCACCACCTTTTACTCTGTGTTTATCTGCCCCTGAGGCTTGCTTCAGAGGCACGTGCTCTCAAATACCAGGATAAAAATTATGCATTATTTAGTTTTACTTCCTACATGTTGACATGAACTCCAGAGATATAGCAGAGCAGCAGAGTGCTTTCATGTGGCTACCTGCAACTTCAGAGGAGTCCAGAGAGCTGCCAGCGTGGCTACCCTGTTTGAAGGGAATCACAAGCATAGGAGAAGTGGGAAGGGAAAGCATGGCTGGAGCAGAAATCAAAGCAGGTCAGATGTGATCACCCCTTGAAAACACCAATGCTTCAACTATGGCTGCCAAAGATCTTATACCGTGAGATTTCAGCTGGGAGATAAGGCATTAAAGCTGCTCTTCATCCTTTTAAAACAGGATTTAGAGCTCCAGTCCTACATGTAGCCATAACCATTCACATTCTGCTCCAAGTGAAATTTTAACAGTTCAGCAAAAAGGTCATAAAATTGACAATAATAATTCATTTGCCTTTTGAGGTGGCAACATAACTAAAAATAATTAAAAAAAAAACCCAAACATGTTCTTCTAGCAAAATTAACTCAAGAGACATTTTTTAAGAAGGTGGAGAAAAACACAAAATAAGAGATTCTGATTCAACTACCACTTCTTGGATTATCCAGCTCAACTCCCTGCCTTAAGTGGCTACAGGAGCTAAACTGGCATGAGTAAAGAGGAGTTAGATTAGCCCTAGAACAATGAAAAAGAAACGATTCTGAAAGGGATAAACACAGTTCATCTATTAAGTGATCTTCAGTGATGGGAACAAACTAGTCCCATGGCAAGTCATTCAGCACTTGTCCATTTTAATGGCTACTCTTCAGCCTCATTCAGTGGTCATTCCCTCTTTCAAAGTCTTCAGCATTAGTGAAGGGAAGGAAGTAGGTGTTTCTGAACTGTTGTGGTGTAGCAATTCCTACATGGCCATTTTTTATTGGTTTCAGCCAACAAGCAAACAAATGGGTGAGTGACTGCCTCCTCTCACAGATACAAGCAAGCCAGCTTTACCCACATCCCCACCTAACCTATCACTGATCCTTACAGTTGCTCAGATCAATACCCAGTGCTTACAGCTCAACAATGCTTTCAATGTGATTGGTGCCCACAGACAGCTGCAAACTCTCTGAAGTTCTTTACATGCACCATCTCATGCTCATCCAGTCCAAGAGAAGGAAGATATTGGATTTTCAGGATTTCACCCACCATCAATTCTGATGTTCATAGTGAATTTTACACTAAAAAAACCCAAAACAAAACCTTACCAAAACCTAAATCAGCACAGTAATTAAGACTTCTGTTGTTGCTGCTTTGATAAACAATACAACCAAGCTGTACCCAGCATAGGTTTAAGTCTTAAGCTGCAATCCCAACATGCAAGGAACGTGTAACTCAGCAGATCAAATAACCATGCAGAAACCACATGCCATTTATCAGATTCCCTGGCACTGACACTTGGGGACTTCTTTTCCCTGGAGCAAGCATGAAGGTCTCAAGCCTGGAAATGGAATTATAATGGCAATTCCCATCAGATGACAGGCATGGATGAAACATCTGTACTACTTCCACAGCAATCTGCTGCTTTGTCCCCAACAACCTTATAGTCTGGTTAAACCACTTGTAGGAAGTGCTCCATCAGATCAAAGGCTGTTCAATATCCTGTCTAAGTCTTCAAAAGAAGGTGTAAAAACCCTATAAAAAGCAGTTACACAATTATCTGCCCAGAGGGTAGACTTCTGACTAAGCCTGGGCAGTTAACAGTTGGCTTATGATTTAAACCAGGGGAGTTCATAATCCTTTTTCTAAATCCTATCTAATTTAACCTTCTCAACCATAGGTTGATTTATTTAATCTCACGCAATGTTTGATCTCCATGCTGTTGGCAGCAAGTTCCCTGGGCTATTTCCATGAAATTCTAAAGGACATTTCTGTTTAACTGCAGTTCAACTTGTTCCCTCAGCCTCCTTAACTGCCCTCTGGCCATAGCACTGAAAGAGCAGTACCTTCACCTTTCATGTGCAACCTGTCAGGCCCAGGGCAATCAGTCCCTGGAGCAGGAAGATTTTGGAATCTTTCTAGGAACAGCAACACCACATCTCCCATGCTCTTTCCTGAGCATGTCTCCTGTTGAATCATCTTAGAAATCAACAGGCAACATTTCCCCTTAGCTGGGAAAGCCCAATGTGAAATATCCCATAGCTTATGTTTCCCTCTCTGCTGTTCAACATTCCTGGTAACTGCTAAGCTGACAACCCACGTCATCTGCTACTCATGGAGAAAAAAGTCTCCATCTGGATGAAAGAAAACTCTGCTTTAATTACATGAAAATGAAGTAGAGTTTGTAGGACAGAGGGGGGATTTAAGGCCTTTTAGATCAGTAATTCTTTAAAACAAAAAAACACTCATACAAGAAAAAAGGCTGGAAGCATGGTTATTTTGAGGCAGATGTTACACCACTGTTTCAAGGATTGGCAATAGCAGCAAAGCAACCAGCATCCCACAATGGAAAAGAGAGCAAAACACAGCTCTGAATGGTGTGCAGCTGTGAAATACAACACATGAGCAAGCAGACTGTTTGCAAACCCACACCAGTGTGGTTGTTAACTACTGTAGGTTGCAAGACAAATAAAAAGGGGAATTTCAGCAATAAATCAAGAAGTCCAAGACCATTTGTAGACAACACTGTATTTGACCACCTCTCCCTGCACTCCACTCCCAGTCACACCCTAGAATCTAAATCCCTATAAGCTACGTTGTACTTCTCTGTCAGCTGAACCCTACAGGCAGGCTAGGAAAGATCTGTGAGCATTCAAAAATGTACAGGAAAAAAAGATGAAAATGAAGCATGGAAATAAATTCCTGACAAACATCACCTAATTCAGTAGCTGGGTTAGAAGGAGGCACATCTCTGCACAGCATTACTCCTGCTGTCTACGTTCTTTACAGCAATTAGCACTTCAGCTGAAGAACTGAATGCCCTTGACTTGGCCTGTCATGATTCAACAAAGCTGGCCCTTCCTGCATTTTCCATACCCCATAGCAGCAATAAATAAATTTAGTGCATTAACCTAGAATGTCATACAGTATATGCAAAGCGTGCAGTTTATTCCTGACCACCCACACAGCTCAAATGTATATTGAGATAAAAGGATCAAGATCAATACCTTTAATGAGCCAAGTCATAGCACTTACTCTAAGCACAGCATCTCCAAAGCAAGGATGTGATCCCAGATTTCCTGGCCTCTGGACACCAGCTAGGCTTAAAGGAAGCTCAAGGCCACTCATCCATCCAGCTGGTGATAGAGCCACTTACTCTGCATTTCCCATTCCAAATTAACCCCTCTCTTCTCCTCCATCCCAAGAACTACAAGTGCGAGCCACTAAGAAGCACAGACATTGAAAGAGGTGTACAAGAACCAAATCATCTTTTTAAGGTTGGCAGTATGGTTTGCTGGTCTCCCTACCCCTTCCCAAGCAATGTCAGACTGTTCTACCCTCAACAGAGAAATCCACGAGTGCAAGGCACTGCAGAAAATTAATTATAAAATAACTTAAGCACAATTTTCCCTTTGCTACCACACTTTCCAATGAGTGAGCAGTGCTGTAACCCAAGAGCACACACCTGACCCCAGGCAGGAAAGAAGAGTTCACTGTAAGCTGACTGCTGTGCCCAAATGCCTTCAGAGCAACAGAAGCTCCATGAAAGCCCCAGTTTGCGATTTTAACTGCACTGGGGGAGAGGAGAAAGCAAGGTAGGGGAATAACATACTCCAGTGTGAGCTCATCATATTTGTATTTGTATTTGCTTCTTAAAACAACTGTAACCAGCAACCATCTACAGTTAACTTTTTTTTTCCTGGTGGGGAAGGCAATCCTGCAATACAAAGTAGTTGCTCAGAAAAGTTAATTAAACTAATTGGGAAAACTGCCATGAAGGGAGACTACGAGACTAAAACTTGAGAATATTTATATTAGGGTAGAAGCAGATATGGAAACAAGATGAAAAGAAGTGAAGCATGCAGAGCTGGGAAACCAGGAACTTCCATTATTTTGGCTATTGCACTGAGAAACAACACTGGTGATCCAACAGACTGACAAATTCAGAACAAACCCAGGGAAAACACTTTTTCACACAACACAGCTACCTCAGCAACCCCTGCTCCTGGAAGCTGCTACAGCTCAGAACCATCTTTGTGCCCCTCCACCCCTCTATTAAATTCAAGAATATTTACAGCATACTTAAGCCCAGAAAAGGACCACACCAGATTCAGTCACAAAACTGTAAGCACTGGAGAGCTGACAACAGCAATACATTGCAGACCCACCCATAACAGGAAAAAATCATTGTGAGGAACAGGTCAGCCAGAGACTTAAAATGTGCAATTAGAAGTACTTATCTAAAATTACCCATCAAGTCTCTGCAGTGTCTCTTTCTGAACCTAATGTTTTTAGTCAGAATTGGCAATTACTCAAAGAATCACAGTCTCAATTACTACATCCTGAACAATGCAGTCAGGAATACCACTGAGGCAGGGTAGTATGGGCAAGCCACACAAAAGGCTTGAAAAGGATACCAAGGGTTGGTATAAGGACAAAGAGACCAACTGTGAGAAGAGATCCTGAACTCCTACACTAGCATGAGCCATAAGAGGATTTGAACACGGGCTATCTTGAGTCCTACACGCAACCCTCCTCAGGAGCACTGGCAGCCTTTCCTTAGGCCCTTAAGGGCCTTTCCTCTTAACCAGGGCAGATCTGCAGATACCCATAACAACAAAAAAAACATTAGATACTAGATGGAAACTGGAACTGTGGTTCAGGTGATTTACTGAAGATTGTAGAAATGCAGAGGTACCAGGACTCCCAAATTCTGTTTCTGTTCTACCTTCTAATTGCAAGCACTGAAACAAGTGCCTGAGGTAAAGTACAGCAGCTGTCGAGGGGGGACAGAAAACAAGGCAGGATTATAAAAATCCTAGAGAGGTGCTTCAAAAGAAAAGATAGTAGCAAGCCTCATCTCCATAATGCCAGTATTTACTGTGGAAAATTTTGACCCAGAGAGCTTTCTCATTCTAGTGGAGATACCTCAATGTTCACAGGAATGTCTGTGTCTGCCTTGCTTAAATTCAGGGACCTTCCAGATGTGAAGTGAATGAGACAACCACTGCACTGCAGAGGCACTAGCTCACACACACAGAGAATAAAACCAAACCCATCAACACAGGAGCCAGATGAGAAAAGGGAAATTTCAGTTACCACAGCTACTGCAAAATTCTGTTTTTCATTGAGACAACCTTGAAAAAAGAGGCACAGAGCAGCAGAAAATTACAGTGCTGCAGCTCCAAAGGACTCTGTCTCCTGTCCTGAACTCAGAATTACTGGGGTTTCCATATGGCAGCCTGCAGTATGTCAGTGATCCCTTTAGCTGGCATCAGTACCAGAAAAGAGATTAGGAACAACAGCTAATTCATTCAGTTTTTCTCTTTACAGGTGAATGGGAAAAAATGTAAAGAACTGTGGGAAAGGAAAAGAAAGCAAAGCCATTTCCTTTAGTTTTAAATATTCTGAAAGCACATAGCTCTGGATCCTCCTCAAACTTCAGACCTCTTGTGGGTACAGCAAAGCTTCACACTTGCACATTAACTCAGTTCAAAACAAAGGGATTATACAAAGTGCTGAGCTCTAAACAAACAGTCTGAAGTTTTGCAACAGTTGATCTTTTTAACATTTTAAGTACCATGTCCCACAACCAGGACAAACGAGCTGCCTCCAATGAAGTCAGTCAAGTTCCCTCACCTTCACCCCACTTCAAGAAAGGTTTTAAGACACTTGGCAAAGAGAAATCTCAGAAATAACTGAAACACAACTCCCCAGACAGTTCTGATTGCGTACCAGGAGTTCATCCATGCTCGTCTGACACTTCTCAAGATTGATCCGTTTAATCGCCACCTTCTCCTTCTTCGGAGCGCAGAAGGCTGCCTGCACCACCGCAGTGGCTCCGCTCCCTGGGGGGAAAAGAGAGAGTTACCAACACTTGATGGACTTCAGCAGGAAGGGAGGGAGGCCAGACAACAAAATTCTGAGTGCCAGAGAGCAAAGACAGCACAGCCAGGTGAAAACCCAGTGAAAGCAATCCAGGCACTCCCCACTGCACAGCTCCATGGGTTGGCTCAGCCACCACATCCAAGTGCTGGGCAACCTGAATTAAAACAAGTGGATCTTTATGATCCCTTCCAGGGATCATTACAGCTCTGCAAACCAAAAACCCTCTCCAGACTCCAGCTTCCTTATAAAAGGGCGATTCTACTCATGTACTTTTAAAAGATATGCCACTGAGGTCACACAGACTTTTAACCTGATGTGTTCACCCAAGCTATCAAAACAAGCCACTCTTTGCTACCGACACTAATGAGATTTTTCAAATATTTTTATGCACTAACTGCTGTTCTCATTTCTCCTCATTTTATGCAAAGACACGAGGTGGGTTTCATTCAAGCAGGTTCTGCTCCAGCTCTCACACTGCCTCAGTTTCTGGGTTGAAAACCACAGCCCCAGACCATTTAAATTCCAGTAGGGAAAAAATACCACATTTTAACATACAGTCCTTCAAACTGCTACAGGTAGGGAGTTCTGGATTTAAAGCACCCAGCACCATCATAGCCTTTGACATGCAAGGGAGTTTGCCATAGTGAGACTTAAAATCTGTTTGATGTTTGTTGGCTTCCAGAAGCTGTTGCAACATTCACCTCTCATCAAAAGGACACCTTGTTTTACTTTCTACCTTCATCATGGTTCCCCACATTTACACACTTCACTGGAAAGGAGTAAATTCACAGTAATAAAATGGGGGTAGGATACGTGGAAAATAGCACAAATGTTCCTATTGCAAATACCTAAAAAATGCTAATGCAAATAAAGAGAAATGAAAACAACTATTCTGAATTTTGGTGTAACACACCTATTTTAGCAGATTCTCCTATTTTGAACACTATAAAAACTATTTCCAGATTCTGCAATTCAGGTAGAGCACATTTTTGCAAGCTTTGTGATTTTTTTTCTAGTACATTCACATAAACTGGGGGCAAAAACTTCCATTTTCAAACAAAGATTCCTGAAGCTCCCTACAATCACTATCAAGAGTCTTCTTACACCAAGTTCCAGGTGAGGGAAAGAGCTTAAAATTCAGCCCTGAAAGATAGAGGAAAACTGCTCCATTCTGAGTCTCACTGAAATAAACTGAAAAGCCCTGAACTGAGGGACTCTGCTCCTCTAATCTTCAACCTGCACCTGCTACAGTGGGAGCTACAGGACTTTGACTTCACTTTATATGGCATGGCCAGTGCACCCTGGACATCAGCATCAGCTTGCCAGGACTCCCTGTACTCAGGAGTTTACATTTTAATGGCAGAAGGCAGAAGTGTGCAGAACACAGAATGCTAATGTTGCTAAAGCTTTATTATTTCCCAAAGCAAATGGGTTTTTAAGAAGTTCAACACTGAGGCCATTTATTACTTGCACACATTGTTTTTCAGAGACTATTCATAGCACAAGGCAAAACAAAGTTATTAGGAAAAGGACAGCAATAACAGCAAGAATATTTACAAAGGGCTTTGAAAACAAAAGTTTGAGTGTTGTAAGCAGATTCTAGAGCAAATAACAGATGATGGAGAGGTCTATGCAGATATTTAACAGCAGGTGCTCAGAAAGAGCAAGGAGGGAAGGTTTTGACAGCAGAGTTTGGTTAGACTGCCAGGAGCAGGGCTGAAACACACAACATTAAACACAGGACAAACATCCCAAAAACAAGCCTCCATATGCACTCCATGTAGTCACTCTGCCCAGCAGGTGCAGGAATCCAGCATGAAAACAGCAATCCCAGCATAAATTAATTCCCTCTCACTGGGAATCCTGGGTGGCCCTGACCTACTCCTCTTCACCCAGTAGCTGCTTCTCTTGGTTTGTTTCTGCTGCTTCTTCAACAGGGGAAAAAAGTAAAAACACAAGGGCTCAAGACAAAGAGAGCAACACACACAGAAGTGGTGACATAAGGCAGAAGTGAGTTTGCACTTCCTAGCATTGCTGGTCTCCCTACAGCAATAGCCTTTTGGAAGTCAGAACAAAAAACAAACACTGTATCAGTTCTTTGGAAAGAGTTAGATCCCAGAAGAAATGTTGCTGCTGACACATTCGAAGCGCCAGTATTATGATTTCTTTCTTTGGATGTCTTAGTGCATAGTAATAGAGGCTGAAAACACAAGCCAGATGCTGGAAGAATATATGACTGTGCAGCTCAGAGGACTGTTGTCACACAACTCTTTTCACTCCTCAGCTGGTTTCTCAGTGTGTCTTTATACCTCTAAAGCTGTCCTCATAAGCACAGGTATCTGTGTTCAAAGACTCTGGATATCTCAGACACTCATAGTGTCAGCTTCCCCCCACAGCATGACATCCCAGGATCTCTGTGCCAGTTAAACCCAGTTTGTGTAAGCACAACTGGCAGAGGTGCTTCTTACAATCCAGATGCAACATCATTACTGCGAACCAACTCCTTCACAAGATGAAGTCCAGGGCTTTAAAGAAGTCACCACACAAAGAATAGCTTTGTGTTTTATTCTTTTAGGATGCTACTACCAGAAACAATAGATGCAGCCTAATTAAAAGCAGCACCACTCATGCTACAGCTCCTTTCCAGTCCTTGAGTCTGCGGGATCAATGCTCACTAGGACTTCAGGGCAAAAACTGCTTTTCACTAAGTGCTGGACAATGCCCCAGCCTACAGGGACCCGATCTGTTATGAGTGTATGGCATTATTTGAACAGTAATGAAATCCCAAACTAAATCCTTCTGGGCACATGGCAGGGAATCATCTGAACTCGAGACTCCTCCCATTTAATTCCCTGCTGCTCCTACTTTTCTGGCAGCTCTCTTTAGTTCGATCACCACCTGCTCTCCCCACTCCCCCCTCTCCCGCTAATTCGTCATTTCTTTCAGCTCCTCTGTAGCACTAATTATAGAGAAACAATGAAATCTCAAAAGCGTATCAAGCGAGGATTAAGCCAAGCTGCAGCACGATGTGCCACAAGCAAGCTGCTCTTTGGTGGCAGCAGCAGCTTCTGGGACCAAACAAAGACTGGTTTCCATGCTTCTTTGGAGAGTTCAGAAAACATGGCAACATGGGCACTTCAAGCTTTGCAGCCACACAGTTTGTTTATGAAATGCCAGCGTGGCCAGAGAAAGAAAGGAGAGAAGCTGCAGCAAGGATGCTGAACACATTGCTAAGTGAAAACAAGCATAGGGAGAGATGACACCAACAGAGAGAAAAAGCTCGTAGAGAAAGTTATGTAAAGTTTAGGAGCAGGTAATAAATATGTGGGCAACAGCAGGAAGACAAGAGATTTCCTGGGCTGCCATTGAAAAGAGGAAGAAGCCCATGGGCAGTTTGTGCCAGGGTAGCACTTGGACAAACCAACTCTCCCAGCAGTCACAGACCTGCTGCAATCAGAGCAAACTGCAGTCCTGATGATGTGGGCAGCACAGGGTTAATGTTCCTGTGCTGGGCTCCCACTCCCCATCTCAAGACACTCTGATCAAGGTCAGTGCTGAGACTCTTCCCTCCCCTCTCTCAGCCTCGCTCAAGATCAGCTTTCGGAGAAAATTTGCTCCCTGGTTAATCTCTTCCAACATAACGGCTTAGCAAAACAATGAAAACCGGGCACAGCCAAATGCTTGCTGCTTTATTCCTGAAAAGCAGGAGATCATTTTGTTGAAGGATGATGGGGAGGAAGGAGACCCCAAATGGGTATTAGGATCTGCTTAATACCCCCTGCTTTTGCCTCTGTAAGGCTCACAGATATAGTTCCAACCCTTAGGATAGCAGCTGCAAAATTCCTGCATAAAAGGGTCACGACCTACTTTAGAAAACACCGCCTTAAGAGGAAAACATACCCTTTCTAACCCCTGTTTCTTTCATGTTTCTACGATTAAATGGCTCTTTCCGAAAAAAAAACCCAACCTCTGAAAGGATTAAAATAACCCAAATAAAAAAGTCCCCAAGCACTCAGTTACTGAAGCCTGATTTTCCAGGTTATCTCCCCTGGATCCCTGGATCCATGGTCCCTGTACCTTCAGCATCCACAGCTCCAGCCTGAACTCCTTAAGTTGAGACAAACTCCCCAGGAAAGCCCAGCATCAGCTTTCAAAGGAGGCTGGATACCATCTCTTCTACAGTTCCACAACTTACATGAAGCTTCAATTTTTTAAAATAAAGAACAACCTGCTGAGATCTCAGCTGAAGTTAATGGAAACCAATTATTTCAAGGCTAATTGGAGGAGTGGAAAGACAGGGGACTGACCAGAGGACACAGCATGTCCCTACACAATTTGTCTCCAATTTAACCAAATCTGTGCAGCCACATAAGGACATTGCAGCTCTCCAGTAAGACTGGGATGAATTGCACTGATGCCTCTTCCCAGGCAAATGCAATTGAAGCCAGAGATCCTCTTGGCAGAGAAATCTGCTTAAGCAATGAACAGTCATGCCAAACAGTCACAAGACAAGCATCAAATCCTGGCTTCAGGATAGTATTCTCCTACCACGTGCAACAGCACTTTGAAGTAGTTACATGGAAGGAGGACTCACAAAACAGTGTTGCCCCAGCTTCAAATTTACTTCAGGCACTCTCAGAGATGTGAAAGTTTCCCTTTATTGTAACTCAGTTGCTCACAAAGCTGTTACAATCAACAGGAGACATGTTCCATAACAGTCTTGTAACATCAGTCCTTACCCCACTGCATTATCAAATCCCCTCTCTAGAGGAAATATACTTTCCCAGGGTCAAATGAACATTACAAATCATTTAGGTTTGAAGGAACCTCTAGTCCACCCTCCTGCAGAAAGCAGGATTAAATCCTGCTTAGATCAGATTCCTCAGCATTGCATTCAGTCTAGTTTGGATTTTCTTTAACAAGAGATGTTTCTACAATCTCTTTGGCTGTTTCTCTGTTT